TCTGCTTTCTGGGCAGACTTGATGGCTTTGCGGGCTCTAGCCACCTTCTTGTCCACTGCTTTGATGATACCCACAGCAACTGTCTCATGTCACAAACAGAAAATGACCCATAGGAGGATAGAGCAGCTCTCAACACATATGGGCTTGCCTGGAACCATGTAAACGATGGCAGCATCTCCAGACTTCAAAAACTTCAGGCCATTTTCCAGTCTTTTCCCAGAACAGTGATCAATGCTCTCCTTCAGCTCTGCCAATTTGCAAGCAGTGTGAGCTAGATGACAATCCAACACAGGTGAATATCCAGTGCTGATTTGGCCTAGAAGGTTTAGGATAATCACCTGAGCCAGGAAGCCAGCTGTTCTCATTGGTGGGTCATTTTTACTGTCATCAGCCACATTGCCATGACAAATATCTTTGACAGACAATTTCTTGACATTGAAGCCCATATTGTCCCCAGGAAGAGCTTCACTCAAAGCTTCATGGTGCATTTCAACAGTTTTTACTTCAGTTGTAACATTGACTGCAGCAGAAGTGACCACCATGCCAGGTTTGAGATCACCAGTTTCCAGTAGGCCCTTAGGGACAGTACTAATACCACCAATTTTGTAGACGTCCTCCAGCGGCAGACAAAGGGGCTTGTCACTTGAATAAATTGGTGGCAGGATGCAATTCAGAGCTTTAAGCAGTGTAGCTCCACTGGCACTGCTACTTTTACAGATTACCTTGGAACCCTTGAAGCAAGGCACGTTAGCATTGTAACCATTTCAACTGAAAATTAGCACAAATGCTACGGTGTCAGGTTTGTAGCCAATTTTATCTTTTCTAATTTTTAAAAATGTTTTTATTGGTTATTGAGAGAGAAAAGAGAGGGGGAGAGAGAGAGAAAGAGAGAAACATCGATTGGTTGCCCCCTGTACGCACCCTGACTGGGGAACAAACCTGCAACCTAGATATGTGCCCTGTCCAGGGATGGATCGAACCTGCAACCCTTTGGTGTACAGGGTGATGCTCCAACCAACTGAGCAACCCAGCCAGGGCTACAAGCTACATTATTTTAAATGTGACAATAATGGATATGACATCAGAATTTTTCATACGACATGAAAAAGACTATCATTGATAATAATAAAGTCAAATTTTCATATTTCAGATGGAAACTAGATTGTTTTCACTCTCAGAGAAGCACTTTATAGATGTCCATATAGGAAAAAAGGGAATGTCCCTATCTGACTTTGTACCACGGCAGCGCAGGCCTTGAACTCATGCACTTCATAGATTATTTGAACAAGAGATGGGTGGGAAGTGGGGAATATAGGAAGGCACAGCTCTCTTCCCCTTTTATTGGCTTTTCATGCACATGTAAGCTATCTCCCCATGTCTGTCCCTGATCCAGAAACTGGAGAGACATTTTATTTTTAAATTTTCTCTCTTTTCACAGAGAATAAGTTAGATGCATGACCACTTTGCCCATCATAACATAATTGAAATAGAAACTCTTCCATAATAGTGGACATTTATTTTCACAAATCCTTCTAGTTATAAGGTTTACAGTACTTGATGAACTGCCAAACTAAACCTATTTTAAATAAATAATAAATGGGGAAGCCACAAAGAGAATCCAGGTACTGAAAACCACTTTCTATTTAAAGCCTCTTCTCCCCAGGCTGGAGTGCAAAGAAGATGGGATGGGACTTGATGAGAGGAAAAGGAAAACTGTGATATGTAGAGGTCCTCTCTCCCTAGAAATTTAGGAGGAGTGACCACGAAGAAGTAATTTGATTTCCTCTGGAAGGGAGAACAGTACACTCTGAAAGATGCAGGAATGACATCCTTATTTAACCTACCTGGCTAGCCTGGGGATGAATACTGGGCATCACAAAATTAATCAGGTTGTGACTTAAATGGAAGCTATTCTGGATGGCGGTGTTTTCCTAGAGCAAATCATCACAGACGCTGACACCTGGTCAGTGGTTATTTTTCTGACGAATGTTCTTTTCTCTATCCCAGTCAGCAGAGACCATCAGAAGCAGCTCGCTTTCATCTGAAAGAAACAGAAGTCCGACTTGAGAGCCTTATCTGAGGGCTATGCCTGTCCTCTGGCTCATTGTCATAATCCAGGATGAATGGAGCTTGCTTGCTGCTATAACCATGGTGAACATTGTCGGCTTATTATGTTGAAGGCATTTTGCTTACTGGACCTGGCGATCAACAGATAGCATAGATCCTTTATTAAGACACATGTAGGCCAAAGGGTGGGAGATAAAACCCACAAAAACTCAAAGAGTCTGATCCTCAGTGATGTTTTCAGATGGTCTGAACCATGTCAGGTATTCAAAAAGTTGCTGCACTTCATACCACCTACTACCCAGAAAGAGGCACAGCATTTGGTGGATCTCTTCAGATTCTTCAGGCAACAAATAATACACTTAATTATGTCACACCAGTGCATTTGGCAAGTAATCTGTAAGGTTGCGTGTTTTCAGTGAGACCCAGGGTAAATAAAGGCTCTGCAGCCTGTCCAGGCCACTTGACTTTTATAATCATGCAGATCCAACAAGCATAGAGCCCTTTGACACAATGGGAGGCTACATGGAGTCTCTGGCAAGTTCCCATAGGAGAAAGATACAGTGGAAACCTAGAGTTTTGAAGCAAAAGAAGTATCAAAATTTTCCTTTAGATCAGCAACTTCTGGCTTGCTCCTGGGCTGTGATAAAGTCTGAATGCTTGACCACGGGGCACCAAGGCACTGTGTAACTTCAGCTACCCTTGATAAATTGGGTGCTAGTTGATCATCCTCTGCAAGTGGAATATTTGAGACCAAACTCAAGCATGTCTGAAAGTACAGCAAAGTTGTTTAAGCAAATGGCTCACATCTTTGTGTCCCCTACTGTTGCATGACACCCTTTCCTTTGACTCACACCTGTATCATCATAGGGAGTTCTTCATGACTAGGTATATTGGTCAAGGTCTGAGAAGGAAGCAAATGGTAGAGTCAGTGGATTGAACTGAGGAGAGTATGATGAGGGGATTTTCTTTTTCAGAGGTGAGAGCAAGCTTAAGGGAATTAGCAATGGGTGGTGAGGCTCCCAGAGACTGGCATTAGTTGATATGGTCACAGCCACTGCCACTGTCATTGCTATGAACTCAACCTGCCTACAGCAGAGGCCAACACTGAGTCCCCTATAAGGTAGCACTCCCTGGTGGTCCAGCCAGCCACGTGGTGACAGATTGATGAAATCAGACCACATTTGTCTGTAAGGAGCAGCAATTTTTCCTCACTTGAATAGGCACTTATTGTAACCCACATTTCTGCCAGCATTCCCACCCACAGACTTTCTGCTCCTTATTCACTTCTACAGTCTCTCACATAACAGTGCTTCCAACTCAGCAAGTCACTATCAAACAAAAGACATGTGCCAGTGTGCTCATGCTGAGGGAGTGCACTAGCCTTACCATATACCTCATTGCCCTGAAGCACCTGGCCTGACAGGATGGTGGAATGGTCAGTCTATTGTGTCACTGCTCTAGTCAGGTGAAGGTTCTGCCTTACAGTATGAGGTAAATATTTTGAACTGATGACCACTATATGGTGTTGTTTCTCCATAGCCAGAATCAATGGGTCCAGGAATTAAGAGGTGAAAGTGGATTTGAATCTTTTCACTGTCACACCTAACAATCCACTCTCAAGGTGTCTCTTCCCATCTCACAACTTTGAGTTCTGCTTGTCCGTAGAAATGTTTCTACAGAGCTACGACATTGGTTGCATCAAATTGCAAGGTGAGATTGCTATCTGGCCATTTAGGGTTCTTTCTGCCATTGAACCAACCGGCAAAGCACGAGTCAACTGAGCTGGCTTGGATGATTGATGTTGATTATCATATGAAAAGAGGGTTGCTAGTAAACAACAAGATTAGGACTGTGAATTGAATCCAAAGAATCCTCTGGGGCATCTCCTACTATTGTGTCCAGGCAGGACCCCTGAGGATTCAGACTTGATGGGAGTAATGGCTTGGGTCACTCACCAGATGGAGAATTCTGACCATCTGAGATCCTGCCTGGAGAGCAGAGGGAGGACAGGGAGGGTGGTGGAAGAAGGAAGTTGTAAAGACCAATTTTAGTCTCAAGACCAGTTATAGAAATGAGGACTGTAGTAGCTTTCTGTGTGTATGCCTATGAACTTTTCTGATCTTCTCGCTATATCTTATACACATCAAATAAAGGTTGATAGAGGATACAGGATATTGAGGTGGGATGGTGTTTGAACTAGAAGAGGAATGACTATCCTCTAGAGATGGCTGCAATGACTGATGGAACTTTTGGTCTACTGTTTTAAGGGGTGCTCTTTAAAGTAGGTTTTTCCATCTGAATCTCTTAGGCAGGAAAGGGGGGAGGGTCAAAGATTCCTTCTGAGTCTTTTGTTTCTTAATAATCAGCTTAAAATCGGTATCCCAAAAGGCCTATTTTGGGGGTAGCAAAACTTCAGTTCCCCTAAGAACCTTTTCTCTGCAAACAATCAAGTGGAACAGGGAGATCAAAGAGGAGACAATGCTTTTCTTACTGCCTAACTATATATATGGCAGGTGCCGATCACAGGTTTCGGCTTTCGGTACCCAGGACCAGCCCTTTTGACGTGACTGGTCACGGGTGGGGGTGAGGGCAACAGGGGACAGTTCCGTACTGCGCTCTCTGTAGGTCACGGGGCTCCTTCCGCGCCCTCTCTCGTGGTCCGTCTACCGACCGGCCACTCGTCCGGGCTCTTGTTCGAAGGGGCTTCCCGCTTTTTGTCGCCAGCTTCCCCCGCGGCCTCTCGCCGCGGGCGGTGGCGCCCGTCCCCTCCCACGGGGGCGCGGCGGCTGGAGGAGGGGGTCGTGGCGGCCGCACGGGGCGGCGCTGGGAGGGCGGGCGCTGGGCCCGCCCCGTCGGCATCCCTGGCCCGACTTCCTCCGGCCGCGGCCAGCCAGCCGACCCAGCTGGAGGAAGCGGCGGCGGCGGCGGCCACGATGAGTTCGGGGGACGCTGTGTGCACCGGCTGGCTCGTCAAGTCGCCCCCTGAGAGGAAACTGCAGCGCTACGTGAGTAGGGGCGCAGCCCGCCCGTCCTCTCGTCCTCGGGTCCCCACCCGCGGGGTGGCCACGGGGAGTCCCGGGGTTCTATGCGCCCCAAAAGCAGCTGTTCCCAGCGCTCGGGGCTGCAGGCAAGGCCGATCCACCGAAAGCGAAATCGCACGTCGAGCCAGTGTCCAGCAGGCGGGCAGGGGCCCGATGACTCTTGCTCGCGGCGCCCAGCGGCTCCAGACCGCCGCTAACCCTAGAAAAGTGGGTTGGGGCTGAAGCACCAGGCACCACTCTCGGTGCAGCGGCGGCCAAGGAGACATCACGAGTGCCCTGTCTCTGGAGAGGGGCGCCCCTGAGTTCCATTGCCCAGCGAGGAGGACAGGACAGGGGTTAGGGAGAAGCACAGAGGAACGGGGCCTGCATTCCACTTGGACCGTAAGGATTACTCTCTCATGTAGCTGTCATTGGACACTCCTATCTGGAACCTTCCACAGAGTATAACTCGTTTCCCATGCTGTCTCTTCTCAGCTTTTTCTTTATGCTGACACGTTGCTTTTTTTCTAGTACCAGCAGGAACCGTGGACTTTTGCTAGTATGAAATAAGGGACACTCGGAAGAGCACATCTTCCTACATATTGCATTACCATTTTAAATGCACTGCCCACGGCTCAAACGTTCATTATCTCCATCAGCACCCTCAGTAAGGTCTTAAAAACATTCTGCTTGAAGACTTGATTGCTACTGAGTGTTCTTCATCCATTAAGGAGAACCACTTCAGCCCTCAGGGATTTGCATATAAATAGATATTAGGGCTTCTTGCTTTTTTTAGGCTGGGAGTAGCTTGATGGATCCATCTTGTTAATGATTCCCAATTTCTCTGCAACTCCACAGCAGGGTGCTAGCAACAAACACACTCAGGTCTGCTCTGCTCCACAGAAGCCCACACACAAACCTCTTGTTTATGGCATACGCCCAAACTGGTGTCCGAGTTTCAGCCAATTTCAGCACTGTTTTGGTTCTTACATTCACGAGGCACATACTGTGTGAAAGTGGAGGAGGTGGGATTATAAGAAAACTTTAAGCATGTATGTATACTTCCAGAATGTGTGACAGCGGCCTTTCCTGAATATACAACTACTTGGGGCCCCTTCTTCCACTGATCCTAGGCTAGAAGGTATTGCTCGCTTAGGAGTCTTTGGGAAGATTTTTTATTGTTGTTTATCCTGCTGAGCAACATTTTACAGGAATGTTGTTCAGCTTTGCATATAGGTGCCACAGATCTATACATACCAAGATTTTTCAGATTAACTACCAGTGTGTTCCTTCATCATTTTTTTTTGAGTCCCCAAGTCCATAAACACAAGGTCCAATATTTCTCAGCCTCTGAATCTCCCAGCTGCTTCCCTAAAAAACAATGAAGCTGTTTTGAAGACTCATTGATATTCAAATGAAGCAAGAGACAAAAGCATGCTCCCCAGGACCTTCCTGGGCAGGTGAGGGTTTATCACAGCAGGGTACTTGGGAGGCCAGCTCAAGGTGCTGTTCCTTGTTGCCCTTTGGAATGTGAGACATTTTTAAAGGTTCACTAGATATTTTCAGAGTATCACTCATTCTTCAATAGATTGTTCAGAAAAATGGTGAACCTGAAGGGCAAAGTTTATGGAAGACTTTTTTCCAGTCCTATTTTGTATCTTACCCTGACCACACTGGCTTAGGAAAGTTTATTACTATTTCATTAACATTGGGAAGGCATGAGTGTGTTTACCTATTGTCATACGTGTTTCATTCTTTTTGGGTGCAGTGGAGGTGTGGCAAATGTGGATTTTGCACAGCTTATAGGTAGGTAGGTGTTTGGGGCATTGTGATGGTAGGGTGGTGATAGAAGAGACTGAAGACATGAGCACTTAGATGTCATCTTATCAACACTCCAAGATATAAACCTTGACTTTTTAGCTCATGATTTGGAATTTTTTTTCTAATTAGGGTCATAGCCTTAGTCAATGCTGTTTTGTTGAAAGGTGTCTGGAGCACACCTCAGTAAGTCCCCTTCCTCTCATCTTTAAGTTCTGCAGGAATCCCTTATCGCCACTAGATGGCGATTAGGTGTCAGTTCAAGGGGGCAAGGACAGCACTATTATTCACAGCCAACTTTAATTACGATCTTGTCATGTCTTCCCTTTGATAGAGTGCCAACTCTGAACCAGGCCCAGTGTCACCAGCTAGAGATACAGGGCAAAAAAGATCCCTGACCTCAATAACTCCACAGTCTTAACATTTGTACCACAGTAACATAACAAAGCAAGTTTGTCGCACAAAGAGGGCAGTAACTCAGTTCTTTGTGCTGCCAGGTCAACAAGCAGCACTCCTTTAATGTTTGTTAAATGACAGATTGAAGCTGAGTTTGTTTTTAGTTAAGTCTTTCAGTCCAAGGTAAGCTTGTGCTTCGTCCTCTTGACTCCATGAGCCAAGGCAATCAGAAAGTTATTTTTATCACTGCTCTTTGAAAAGATAGTTGATTCTTTTTTTGTATTTTTTGTTTCACAAATAATATAGGAATATATTCTTGTAAAAATTCAAACAATCCAGGAATAAAGAGAATAAAAAGTGAAAGACCATCTTTAATTTTCCTCCACATCCTACCTTTTCTGTGCACCCCTCCTTAATCCACTCCCCTCCCTAGGGATAACAACTGTTAGCAGTTTGTTGAGTATCATCCTAGAAAAATTTATACAAAAGACATAATTTTCTTTTTGCACAAATGAGATCATACTATAAAATTGTCCTACAATTTTCTCTTTTGTGCAACAGTCCTGGACATCTGGTTAGTGCTTATAGATTTACTTTATTCTATTAAACCATTGCCTAATATTCCTTGTACTAAATGTAACATAATTTAACAATTTACCTATTAATGAACATTTGCCTTGCTTTATTTTCTCAATTTTAAAGAATGCTATTACAGAAATGATAATAAAATTATAATAACTCAAATTTATTGAATGGTTGTATGTGCTAGGCACTGTGCTTGTATTATCTCTTTTAGTCTCCAAAGCAGCACTAAGAGCCCAGGCACTGTGTTTATCTCTGCATGTGAGTTCTTTGTTGCGTATATAATTTGCAAATATTCTCTACCAGTCTATAGGGTTTTTTAAATTATATTTGTAATATATTTTCTAGAACAAAGATTTAAAATTTTTAAGTCCAATTTATCAATTTTTCTTTCATGGATTATACTTTTAGTGTCAAGTCTAAGAATGCTTCGCCTAGCCTTAGACCCTGTATATTTTCTCATATGGTTTTTTCCCTAAAAGTTTTATGTTTTATATTTAGATCAATGATCTATTTGAGTTAAATTTTGTAAGAGGTATAAGGTTTATGTTGTGTCACTTTGTTGCAAACTGATTCCATTTGTTCTAGTACCATTTATTGAATAGACTATCCTTACTCCCTTAAATTAATTTTTGAACTTGGTTTAAAAAAATCAATTGGTCATACTAATGTAGTTCTGTTTCTGTGTTTTCTAGTCTGTTCCACTGATGTCTTCATTCATCTTTATGCTAATACCATGCTGTTTTGATGACAGCTTTATAATAAAATTTGAAATCAGGCAGTTTTAGTCCTCCAACTTTCCTTTTAAAAGTTGTTTTGACTATTCTAGGTCCTTTATTTTTTAATACAATTTTATTTTTTATCAATTTTTTTACTGTTCTATTACAGTTGTACTAATTTATTGTTTTAGCTTCAGTAGCTCATATACTAAAATTAGTTTATCAATTGGTTTTTTATTTTTTAATAAGACTAAATTTATTCAATAATCTAGTACAAGTTTTGGTTACAAGTATCTGATAGTATAAAATGTACAAAACAGATTGTAGATTTCTAATATAGTATAGTAATACAAAGTGCATGACTGCATACAGTAAGTACATCCTACAGGAGAAGAGAGGTGGAAAGGGAAAAAGAAGACTGTGGTTGAAGTCTAATAATAAATAAACAAATACAGAAGTAGAGATGATTCATATTATAGTAATTGTACCACCAGTATCGCAGCCAAAATGCACACAAAAAAGAACCATTTCAAAATAACTCAGGAAGAAGATAATAATGGCTCGGACTCTTGTAATACACCTTAAATGTTGTGGGGGAGACAACCCAGTTCACTGTATAGTCTGTGCGTCTGGTGGCTTGTAACTTTATCAAGTGATTTTTTAAAAAATGTTTTATTTATTTATTTTTAGAGAGAGGGGAAGGGAGAGAGAAAGAGAGGGAGGGAAACGCAAGAGATACGTCAATCACATGCCCCCAACTGGGGACCTGGCCAGCAACCCAGGCATGTGCCCTGACTGGGAATCAAACCAGCGACCTTTCAGTTTGCATGTTGGCACTCAGTCCACTGAGCCACAACAGCCAGGGCTATCAGGTGATTTTTTAATATTATCCTTGTATTCTGCAACCTTGATAAACTCGCTTACTAGTTCTAGTAGCCTTGCTTATAGTTAGAACCTGCGGTACTGTCAGTGTTACACAGAAATGATGAGAGTAGCCTTCCTTGAATTTAGCCTGATCTTAGGAGGAAAGCATTGTCTTTCACCTTTTAGGTGTGTTTTCTGTAGGCTTTTTGTAGGTGCCTTTTATTAACTTGAAGTTCCCTTTTATTGCTAGTTTGCTGAGACTCTTTATCGTGAATTGGATTTTGTTAAATACCTTTCCTGCATCTATAAAAATAATAATATTGCCCTGGCTGAGTGGTTCAGTTGGTTGGGGCATTGTCCCATATACCAAAAGGCTGTGGGTTCAATTCCAGGTCAAAGCACATACCTAGGTTTTGAGTTTGATCCCCCATCAGGGCATGTATTGGAGGCAATCCATCGATGTTCCTTTCACATCAATGTTTTTCTTTCTCATTCTTTCCCTAAAATCAATAAACATACCCTTGGGCGAGGATTTTAAAAAATCTGCTTTTTATTTTTTATCTGTTACTATAATGAATTATTCTGATTGATTTTTGCATGTTGAGC